CGGCCCGTTTCCTCCTGTGCTTTGTGGGAGAGAGCGAGCGAGCGAGAGAGAGAGAGAGAGAGAGAGAGAGAGAGAGAGAGAGAGAGAGAGAGAGAGAGAGAGAGAGAGAGAGAGAGAGAGAGAGAGCGGTTTGAAGCTTAATTTGCAGAGTGCCGCTGTGAGGGACACCACGCCTGCAGGCTGATTCCCAGCGCTGCTCTGTCTCTCTCGCACCCCACGGGTCGTTCCATGTGTGCTTCGCAGTGTGCTTCGCAGTGCGCCTCGCAGCCCGGTCCGCCAAGTGCGTCATCCCCTTGAGAAGGCGTGGCCGCGTTTGGCGCTTGTTGGTCCCGGAATGTTGTTATCAGGTAGCAGCCAAATTGCAATTCCATGCCGGGGCATTCCTCGGCTCGGCTCGGCGCAGCCATGCCAGGCAGCGCCAGGCAGCGCCCTCAAGGCGGAGCGCAAGGCCGGCCCGGCCAGTTCGTAAATATGGCCAAAGTTTGTTCCAAGGTTAAGCCGCGCCGCGCCGCCCCGCGCTACGTGCGGAATGCAGCGCGCGCAGCGCCACACGGAGCGGAGGGACGAGCAACTAACTTGGGCGCCGTCCGTCAGGACATCAAGGTGCCGCGGAACAAGGCGAGCATGGCTGCAACACAGCAGGGCCTTCCTCCTCCGCCTCGTGCGGCCCCTTTGAGGGCCCCAGGCCTTACCAAGGCCCGGCCGGGGTCCGAGTCGCTCCGTCTCTCTCGCACCCTTACGGCACGCCCCATGAGTGCGAGGGAGACAGAGCGTGCTGCTGCTGGCGCCGAGGCCCCGGCCAGCCCCACCACGACGCCGTGCGCCGCCATGCGCTGCATAGGTGGCGCCCAGGTCCCCTCGGACAATGAGGGCGAGGAGGGGGGGGGGGGGGGGGCGCCAGGGCCACCCTGGAGCGGCAGCCAGCAGCAGCAGCCAGGGGAGGTGGCAAAGTTTGCGAATGACTTGAGTTGTTTGAACGACCTCAACTCGGAGGTGCCGCGGCGGCGCGGATCTTCCAGCGCGGTGGCCTTCAAACGGCTGCACCCCCACCACTCCCCCCCCTCTTTCCCTTTTCTCTACCTTGCCCACCACTCCACCACGCTCCGCAAAAGCAACATCTCTCGGGGCCCTTGCTTCAAGAGTGCTCGTGCATTGAAGACCCAAAACTGATGATGCTTTGGCTGCAGTCTTGTGCGTGGAGGGCTACTTCCACCCCCCCACCTCCTCCGCTTGTAGGACCCCCCCCCCCTCCCAAGCAAACAAGCCTCATTACGACGCTCCCTAACCCTTGATAATGGGCCGCCCATATAGTATGCAACACAGTAATGCCTGGCCTCTGGTGGCCGCGCCGGGCCGTGCCGGGCCGTGCCCGCCATGAATGATCCTCGATGCCCTCATCAACCCTTCCAGCCGCGCTCGCTGCACATCGGCCATTTAATCACACACTTTTCAAAACACCCAAAACATTTTTTTTTAATTACCAAGTTTTGCTTTTGGCGCGAAACTCCCGTTTCCCTTCCGCTCCCCCTCTGCTTGTTCTTGTTGTTGTTTTTGTTGTTGTTCTCGTAGTTCCGCCCCACTCGTAGCGAGTTTCCATTGCGAATTACTGCAGACGCGTTTAAACCGAAAAGCCGGCGCCGAAATTACTTCCTGTTTTCACGCCGCGGCTCTCTCTCACACTCACGCTCTCTTTCTCTCTCTTTCTCTCTCGCCCATTATCGACCCGCCATCGCCGGCCGAAACGCGGTGGGACTAGGACATGGCGGGACGCATTCCGACCGGACAGCGGGTCTTTTCCCCGCGCGAAACACACGGGCACACCACGTGACCCCCTTCCGGCCCTGGCGGAGGTTGGCCGTCGTCGTCGCCTACACGCCAAGTCGATCGTCGGCGAGCTCGGCGGACTCGCCGCGAGGTCGCGACCGTCGCCGTTTCGTTGGCGGCAGTGGCCGGCGGCCCGCGGGACAGTTGGCCACAAGACCGGTGGTGGCGGTCAAAATCTCAAACTTATTTTGAACTCCGGGGTCGCTAGGTAGGACTCGAACCGAACGTGTGACCCCACCTATGGATTGCTCTCCGAACGAGGAATCCATTGGTGGGGTCACACGTTCGGTTCGATTCTCACTTAACCACTCTGGAGCTCAAAACGCTTCCACCGGTCTTCTGACCCACTGTGCGGGGGAAGGAGAAAAGGGGGAGGGGGTCAACAAACCCGGAGTAACAGCCAACGACAGTGTCTAGTCAAGTACGCGCTCCTGGCTTGGTCCAAACCGCACCCCCCTTCCCCCCCCCCCTTTCGCCCCGCTGGCAGGACGCATTAGAGCGGCCGCCACTACCCTAAAATGATTAGCACTGGCATTTCAATCTCCCCTCGTCCCACCACACGGTTCTGCAAAAGAAACATTGCAAAACAAAAAAAAGGCTCAACAAAAGGGCGCAAATTTGATTTCAAAAAATTAGATACGGCTTCTTGCAGGGCTTTCCAGCGGGCAAAATGCCAGGACTAATATCGGTCCCCACGTGGACGTGGAAGGGTTGATGCCTGGGCGCCGCCAAGTTGTTTACCTCGCGGAGGGGAAGGTCGACCTTGAATTGCGGCAAATCGCCCGGCACACCGAGAGGCACACCGAGAGGCACGCGGAGTGGAGCACGCGGTGTGGAGCGGCCAGAGAAATATGGGCTTCGGACTGTACCACAAATTGCCTTGTAATGAACCATCTTTGTCATTCTTCTGCCTCTCCGCTCCGCCTTCGCTGTGTCCAGGGAAAATACACGAGTGATGTTGCGTTGCGTCCTTGAGCGCGTACAAGAAAAATTAAACGTGAGTGAGAAGAAAACTAAAAGCGGCGCCAAAATTCTTTCATATTCGAATAACTTTTTTTCAAGGGGGTATGGGAAGGAGCATGATATAGGGAAAGTCTGAACACTTAAAGTCAGTACTCCGCTCTCATATTTTAAATGAGGCGGTACCAAGGTTCGAACCCTCGGGCTCCTGGTCGGAAAGCTGACACGCTTGCCAATGGACCACGCCGTCACAGCTCATCAGCGCCGGCCCGTTAGGCAACCCAAGCGGCCGTCCGGCGGCCTCGGCAGCCTCGTCGCCGCACAGGGGACCTCATGTAAAGGACGCTTTGCCGCTTTCGGCTTGTTAGTGGTAGAGCCCGGTCCAATCTGCATTGCTGCCGGTTGACCGGTTCGGTCCGATGCGGTCCGGTGCGGCTCGGGCGGCTGGAAGGCGAGGCGGCTCCTTAGAGTCTGGAGCCGCTGGACTGAGTGGGCGACCGCAGCCCGGAGCCAACCCTCCGCCCTCGTCGCTCTGTCTCTCTCGCTCCCCTACGAGGCGCCCCGTGAGTGCGAGAGAGAGAGAGAGAGAGAGAGAGAGAGAGAGAGAGAGAGAGAGAGAGAGAGAGAGGAGAGAGAGAGAGAGCGGAGTTCGGAATCGATCTGCGGGTCCTCAAACATCCGGCCTGGCATTCCATGGCGACCCAGCTGCCTCCGAAGTGCCGCCGTGCCGCCGTGCCGCCGCCGGGAATGTTGACTTTCGGATTGTTTTGAGACGAGAAGCTGGCCGAGCAGGCCGAGAAGAGGGAGAGGGTGTTTCTCGTCCCCTATTGCCGCGGCCACGGCGTGCCTAGGGCATGCCTACACTGGGAATCAATACGCAGTAGGCAGTGGGCTGCCCTGGCCGCCCGGCCCCCGCCCGGCCCCGCTACGCGCACCGCGCAGCACCGCGCCGCGCTACGCGCTTTCACACAGCACCACGCCTGTCCACCCACAGGTGGGTGCGCAGTGGATAGCGCCAGCAATGCCAGCAATATCCCAATGGAACAACGCCTCCCCGAATCCGATCGCGTCTCCACAGCGCCCCATACGGCGCGCCGGAAAGATATGGGGTATTACAACAGGCGGGCGGCGACAGCGCGACAGTGCGACAGCCGGCAGGCTGAGCCGCCACACCGCGAAAGGCCGTCCCGGTCGGCCCAGCCCCATTCAGGGCACTGGGGGACCTGCCGCCGTGTTTTCACTGAATTTGTGAAAGCCGGTCTTCTGGCCCACTGTGCGGCGTCCCCCTGGGCGACTTTCCTCATACCGCCCGTTGCGCGGACGCCATGAATGAACATTTCGGAACTGTCGACTGGGGAGGGGGTGTAGAGTTCTACATTTTCCTTTCCATTTTCGAACTTTTAATTTCTTGAAGTTGACTGTACACACAGAACGTACTTTGTAGCACGTTGTTCAGTTTCGCAACTTGCTCGAAAGCACCTGCGAACGTATGAGGCCGATGACACGTCTCGAAATTGAATTTTAAAATTGCAGCCGCGCCATGATTGGCGCGGACCGGGGATCCACTGGCAAAATCTGCAAATTAAAAAGTTAACGGATCCCTGAGCTCTGAGCGGCACCGCGCCGCGAAGGACGCCGGCCGCGACTGGGCGGGCGCGGAGTAAATGGATGACGCTGTTACCAGCCTTTGTTTATTCACAGAATGTTTGCCGTTCGGTATGGCGGGGGTGGCGGGGGCGGAGGCGGGGGCGCGGGGGCGGTGTGGAGGCAGCTGGTGCTGGCACGTTCGGAGACAAGGTCCGGCACGACCCCACCCACGCTAGCTGCGCTGCGACAACACAACTACTTCACCCACACTGCCGTGCCAGGGCCGTGCCAGGGCCGTGCCGCCGGGGCCGTGCCTGGCCGGGTATCCTTCGCGCCAAACTTTGCACAAACCTAACCTAACAAGCGCTGGTCCGGCTGGCTCCGCTGCCCTGCACATGTGGGACACCAGGCCGGCCGACTGGTGCTCTGCGGTTGCCCTGTGCCATCAGCCGAACGGCGAAGCACCGGCAAGCCACTGGCAGCAGAGCCTGGGAAGCCCTCGACTTTGCTTTGTCTCTCGTTTCCCGGCCTCAGTGTTTTGTCAGCAATTTTTGTGACTGCTTTCAGTCAAAATTTCAACAAAAAAGGTCCTTTCGACACTCCTGTCGACTTCCAGTTCCCGGACTCACCGATCATGATGGCCGCCCGGTTGGTGGTGCGCTTGGCGCGGTAGGTGAGTGGCCGCGTCACGGAGAAGTACCGGTCGAACGAGATGATGAGCAGGTTGAGCACGGACGCGTTGCTGTTGAGGTAGTCCAGCGTGAGCCACGCGTCGCACACGTGCGGGCCCAGCGGCCAGTAGCCCATCAAGGCGGACACCGTGAACAGCGGCATGGAGATGAGCCCGATGGCCAGGTCGGCCACGGCCAGGCTGCGGGAACAGGCAACACAGCGTCAGGCGCAGTCAGTCAGGCAGTCGCGAAGGCGGTCGGGGGGCGGAGACACGTAAGGCGGGGTGCTCAAGGAGCCACCGCACAGAGGACCAGGAAGACCGGTGGAGGTAGTGAAAATCCCATCGCACGCGTTTTGAGCTCCAGAGTCGCTAAACAGGACTTGAACCGAACATGTGATCCCACCAATGGACTGCTCTCCGAACGAGGAATCCATTGGTGGGGTCACACGCTCGATTCGAGTCATGTCTAAAGACTGTGGAACTCAATGCGCCTCCAGGATTTCGACCGCCTCCACCGGTCTCCGGCCCACTGTGCGAGGTGCATGAGGAAAGACCCCGGCCGGACTCCGCGGCGAGGGACCACCCCGTGGCTACCGTGGAGAGTCACTCGGGCGCGGAGTATCTCCGGGATCGTAACTTCTTTAGCAGCTCTTGTAACTTTTTATTTTCGCCCGTAATGTGGGAGCGCGGGTAAAAGATACATCGTACCGCCACCTTTACTGAACACGAAAATCGAATCGGTTTGAGGCTAGGTTCCGGCCTCGCTTCCAGCCCACCCACGATCCATTTCAAACTGCCGGCGGTTTGAATATTTGAAGCGGGCTGAATAGGCCAAGCGAATCCATGCGCAGTCGAGCCGTGTCGCCACGCCACAGAGCGGCGCGGCGCCACGGCGGCGTGATGCAGCAGGTTTGTGTAAGGCATAAAGGATGGACGGGATGACGGGAGGCACGTCGCCGGCCACGTTTGTCGAGCCAACAACCCCCTCCACCGCAAGGCCAACACCTCGTGTTGCCCCAGCCTGCCAACCAGCCCGCCAACCCGCCCGCCAACCAGCCCGCCAGAGCTAGAGCCAAAGACAGCCCCGCCCGGCCCCGCCGCACTCCGTCCTCGCCGCTTTCGGCCGACCTCAATTTCGAGGTTAGGTTCTGCTAATAATGACATGGGTGGCAATCTCTAGATCTTCGCTCCACATCGTTTCCGCGATTCGTCCCACGGTTTGCGTTTCATTGGCGCACGCCGCCATTAGAGACCCCCGCCAGTGCGCTCGCAAAATGAACTTTCGGAAACCGTTTTACCGCGTAAATTGGTCACAGTATTATACTTGCTCAACGCGTATCTACCGAGGAGAAAGTCAGTATTGGACTGAGAGTAAAGCGGATTTTGGAGCTCGTATAGAGTGCGCTTTCTCGGAAGTTTCTTAGACATTCAGTACTTCTGCTGCACTGTTAGCGCCTGTGGAGTCGGGGGTAGGCAAGCCGCTCAACTCGACTGCCCAGCGGGCTTGCCTACCCTCGACCCCACAGGCGCTGTGCCCCGCGGTGCTGTGCCAACTTCCTGAACTTGGGAGGCTGGACCACAATGGATCGCCTGGATGGCCTGGGATTCCCTGGTTCTGCTTTCGCCGTGCGTGGTTTGAGGGGAGGGGCTGTCGAGGGGAATCGAAACCAGCATACAACGTCAAGCGCACTGGCTGGTGACATGACCAATCGAGCCATCCCATCCCATCCCCCTGGCCCCTGGCACTTGCAGTTCGATGTGCAAGATGCAGGCAGAGCGCAGGCAGACAGAAACACAGACAGATAGACGCCACGACCGCTCCCCGGCCTACATGCCGAGCGCAGCGATGCTGTGAAGCAGCGTTGGCGCTGACAGGCGAAGGCGACCCACCGTGCCGCGCGGTGCCACGCCCCGTGGCGTGCTTGTCCGGGGTGGGAGGGCGCAGATAACGGTGCCCCGTGCGGGTGCCGGCAGACATTCCCATACCCACCTAAACAGAAAGTAGTTGCTGATGGTCTGCAGCTGCTTGTCGATCTTGAAGGAGATCATGACCATGGAGTTGCCGACGACCGTGATGATGGACAGCGACCCGGCCAGGATGGCGATGACCACCATCTCGGACAGCGAGTACCGCGACTTGCTGCCGGGCGCCTCGGTGGACGTCGCGTTGACGTCCAGCAGCGAGGGCGACGACGACCCCCATGTCGAGAGGGTGGACGACGGTGACGTCGGCGAGGTCGGGGACGCCGTGAGGTTGTCCGCGGCCAAGGCCACGACGGTGGCCAGCCCGTTGGCCAGCTCTAGCCCGTCCATCCTCCACCCTCCCCTCTACCGGCCCCCGCGGCTCACATCGTGTCCCTGCGAACAGAAGAAAGGAAAGCAACCGTCAGTGCAAAGTCACAACTCAACGCGTTAGAAAAACGCCCGCTCAGAAACTTTGTCCGCGTCGAAAATCTGGTTGTGTGAATCGCTATGTGTCTGTGTCGCCACACTGTGGGGCCTCGGCCGGCCGTGGCGGTTGTAGCAAATTTACCCAGTGGCGCCCGGCCCGCTATAAAACAGAAAGGGATGCAGCGCTCATTGAGTTGCCACCCCTGTAAATGGAGAGCCCTGTCGCCCCCATCCCCTCTGTTTCTCTCTTTCTCTCTCTCTCTCTCTCTCACCCTCTTTCTCTCCCTCTCTCCCCCGCCCGCCTTGCTCGCCTCGCCCGCTCTCGTGCGCGCTCCAAGGGCACCGAGAGAGGAACTTTTTCCACTACCGTTTACTCTGCCGGGGCTACTCTGTCTCTCTCGCCCTCAGGCAGGCTGCGCCCCGTGCGCCCTCTGTCTCTGTCTTTGGGTGTGTCGCCCTTTGAAGCGCCGAGCAGGCCGAGCAGGCCGAGACCCAGACTCGGCCGCGGCGGCGTGCAGCAGCAGACAGTTTCCGGGCAGTGCTTCGCCGCGCTGTCTCTCTCGCGACCCTGTGGAACTCCCTGCGAGTGCGAGAGAGACGGACACCCTGCAGCCGTCCCTATGCCAGTCCTAGGGGGAGGCAAGTTATTGGTGTAGGAGGGAGCTCAAGGCGATTTGACGTTCTGATTGGCTGGGCAGTCGCTCGGCTCGGCTCGGCCAGGCTTGCCTCTCCGTGAAACCCGCGCCGTCCGGAACGGTGCTTCCGTCTCTCTCGCACTCATGGGGCGTCGCGTCGCAACGCGTAGGGGGGCGAGAGAGACGGGGCTTCGTCGCCCCGTTTCGGAATGAGCTCTCTGCAGCAGTGGCGGTGGCGGCCCGGCCGAGTGTGCTCAGCCCAACCGGAAATCTGGCGCGAATACAGTGTGGCCGCACGGACCGACAGACGGACCGACAGACGGACCGACGGCGCGGTCGTCACGGCAACGGGTCTGGATGTAACGGTAAGCCTGCCTGTCTGTCTGTCTGTCTGCCTGCCTGCCTGCCTGTCTGTCTGCCTGCCTGCCTGGCTGTCCGACGGTTCGCCGGCACAGCTGCAAAGGGAAATTGGGTGGGGAAACCTCTCGACCCGCTAACTAATTCTTATTCTTCTTCAAACTACTTTGAGGATCTGGAAGCAAGTTTGGCGCGCGCAACTCGGGATTGGAGCGTCGCGGATCAGCGAGCTAGCGATGCCGGAGCCGAAGGCCCGAAGGCCAGCCCCGGCGCCCCGGAGCCCCGCAGCCCCACTGTGTATTAACGCGAACCGACACGCCGGCCGCCAGCCCCGCCAGCCAGTGCATGCGGCCTGCGCCCGGCTCGGCTCCTGGCTCGGTGCGCCTGAATGTTTGATACAGCCGGGACGCGCGAGAGCGCGTTCAAAGCCCAGTGGAAGCATCTCTCTCTTTTTTTAAGCTCTGTGGGACTTTTCACGGTGCGGGGTGAGGTGAGGCTGAGCCCCGGAGCGCCACACCGCGCCCCGCCCCGCCCCGCCCCGCCGCCTGCTTTTGCATGCCGACACGAAACACACCCTCCACCCCATACATTTCACAGCACCTACGCAGCATGGCGCGGCGTCACGTTAAGTAGGTCACACTTAGCGCACCCGCAACACGCTTGATGGCCACGCCACGCCGCGGTAGAAATTTAAATTGTGAATAAGGGGTTGGTTTGCCGGACAGCTACACCACAGCCTTCGGGCCGGAAGGGGGGGGGGGAGTTTGGAGTTGCCAGGAGTTGCCAGCGCTCGCGCCGTGCCGACCCTCCAACCCCCCGGCCGGTCCTTCGCCGCCATACGGAGGCAGCAGTGGTTGGGAAGGCCTGTCAAATTCGGTGGGTGCTTTTGCATTTCTAGAGCACAAAGAAAGAGATAATCTGTACCTATGCTTGAGAATGATAAGACACACACAAGCAAGGGCACGCACATACTCACGACGCTTGTGACTTTCATAGACGTTCAGAGAGCAATCCATTGGTGGGGTCACTCGTTCGGTTCGAGTCCCATCTAGCGACTCTCGGGCTGAAAACGCGTCTAGAGTTTGGCCGCCTCCACGGTCGTCTGGCCCACTGTGCTGCCGCTCCCTTTCCACGCCGAGATGATCCCATCCCAGGTGACGGAAGCCGCCTCCACACCTCCGCAAAGTTGGAGGGGGAGGGGAGGGGGAAGGGCGAGGGAGAAAGACAGCGGGAGGGAGAGATCCAGCCATCGAGGCGAAGAGCCATCTCTCATCTGTCAGGAATTTGATACCTCGCTCCCTGGCTGTCCGGGCGCGGGCTGGTAACCACGCCACGCCGCGCCACGCCACGGCCCGGTACGGCGAGGCGCCGGTGTGGGGGGAGATCTCAGCTGTCCACGTTCAACCCGTTCCGTCCGAGCTCATCAAGGTCACTGTCACTCTAAGTCAGCGGTTCCCAACCTTTTTCGGCTCGCGACCCCAAATTTGTAGCAAAAAATTTCCGCCCCCAGGAAAAATTTCGCGAACCCACGCGACCCCTCCTTTAGCATGAGTCTAAGTGAAAACGACCCGGGTACTGACAAAGTCAAACCCCGCAGCCGGCCGCGGCAGCGGTACTCGAACCCGGGACCGTAGTTTTGGCGCCTGGCCGTGGGGCCTCCGCGTGGCCTTGGCCCCACCGCCCCGCCGCCCCTCCGCGCCACGCCAGTGCCGGGTCGCCCCTACACCGAGCGACGGAGAATTTCCGCGATAAATTGAGTTGGGCAAACATTTTCAGAATAGCAAGGACCGGACCGTATTTTTCGACGCCTGGGGCTCGGCCGCGCTGCCACGCTCGGCTGCCACGGCCCGGGGCCAGGGGCGGCCAGGGGGAGGGGCGGGGCCGGCTGCTCCGTTCGGCTGATTTCAATATGCGTCCACTCCAGGCTGCGAGGGGCGAGCGCGAAAGGGGAGGGGGGGCTTTCGCTCGCACAGCCGAGCAGCACCACGCAGCGCCGCGCGGTGCAGCAGTGTGTCGACGGCGAGGTCGTTTCGGTATCGTCATCGCGGGGAATGAGCTCGTGGCGACCCGATTGCCGTCCCGCCTGCGTCCCGTCCGCGTGGACCGAGGCGCAGTGGGACAGGGGGACCAGCCAAGGGGGACGCTGCTGAAAGCCCTTGCTGAAAGCGCGAGCGCTGAAAGCACACTCGCCCGGCCAGGTCCGGCCAGGTTGGGTGGCGAGTGGAGCTGTCACCACACGTGTCCGTCAGCGCACGGTCACCGCCATGGCGCGCCAGGGCCAGGAGTCAAGGCGAGGACGAGGAGTTGGGGGGGACCACCCGGTGCGAAATCTTTCCACTGGAACAATCGAGTGAGCTGGCCGGCGGATGGGGCTGGGTTGGGGCTGGGTTGGGGCCGCGTGGCCGTGGGGTGTGATGAGAAGGCGAAATGCGGGGACCACGGGGAGGTCAGGGGGCTGCTTTCACCTCCGCGACCCCCTGTGGGCCTTGTGGGGTGGGGAGTGCTGGGGTGGGGAGACACTGGTGGGAGCGTGTGAGCTTTTTAATGGCCTTGCTTGAAAGCTTCCGGTGAGTTGCGGGCCGAGGGAAGGGGGAGGCGGGGACGGGGGGTGGGGGGGTTTGCTGCTGCCGCTGCGTCCGCGCCGCCGTCGCCGCGTGTCGAACGAGGAAGTGTCGAAGAGAACGTATGGTGTGGCGATGATACAGAGCCTTGCGTAAGTCCTTGCCTCATCATTCAACCGCCGCGGAGACGGCCTTCCAGCCTGCCAGCCCTGCCAGCCCTGCCGCGCGACGACACAATACAATCACCTGTCTCCGGCCCCGCAGCACCCCGCAGACCGCAGACTGTCGCGGACTGAGTCGCCAATGAGGGACTCGGCTTTCGGCTTTCCCCCGCGCTCGCTGACACCTCGCAGCATTCATGTGGAACGCGGCGCCAGCAGCACAAAGAAGCACCCCGTTCTCTCTCTCTCTCTCTCTCTCTCTCTCTCTCTCTCTCTCTCTCTCTCTCTCTCTCTCTCTCTCTCTCTCTCTCTCTCTCTCTCTCTCTCTCTCTCTCTCTCTCTCTCTCTCTCTCTGTCACACTCTCCCCGGGGCCTGCGCCCTGCTCTGCATGCTCGGGACAGGACGAAACAGGACTCTGACGCCGGGGGACAGAGGAAAACAGGAAAACACGTGGAGCGCCGCAGCGGGCCGACTTCGAACCGTCGCTCTGTTTCTCTCGTGTGCGTACGGGAGAGAGAGAGAGAGAGAGCGTCGCTGCTCTGAATCGGAGCGCAGAACGCCCGGAACGGAGCGCGGCGCCTGGGGCGGCAGCGTGGCCGGCCTCGCAACGTCGCCGTGGAGCACGACAAGGAGGCCCTTGTTTGCCTGCGACGGCCGTCCATGTGCAGGCGGTGGGTGGCGGCGCCTGAGGGTCCTCCGTGGTCCTCCGTGGTCCTCTGTAGTCCTCCGCGGCCCTCCGTGGCCCTCCAGAGTAACGAAGCCCCACCTAATGATTACCGCGCTGTTGCGGCCGGGCGGGGCAGGCCGAGCTGGCAGGCCAGGAGGCTGCCGGCAGCAAGCCTTGCCCGTGACACCGCCTTGACAGCCCTCAGCCCCCGCCTCTCGGCCACACCGAGATCCCACGAAGCGAACACAAAAAGGGGCCGCCTAACCCGAAGCTAACCGCCGCACGAAGAGCTCGCCGTCGACGGGCATCGCGTGCGGGACGCGGTGTCGCTGTCTCTCTCGCACCCATGTGGAACGCCCCGCGAGTGCGAGGAAGACAGAGCGCTGGATCCGCTTGTTGTTGCTGCTGCGCCTTTACAGCGCGTTTCGGTTGAGTGCTTGACGCTGGTTGAGGGGTGCTTACCACCAGGTTGAGGTCGCGGGGTTGGGTGGGGTGCCCCATGTCCCACGTGAGTAGTGGGGTCCTCATTGCGGGTGACAAGCGCCCATAAACCAGCGCCCCTTCCCCCCTCCGGCCGCCGCCATG